TCAGAGCCATGGGCACACTGCCCACGCTCCCCGCCGCTCTATTTATGAATCTCTTATTTATTGCTCGTGACGCAGTGCCTCAGTGCCTGGTGACTTGAACCCCCCGGCAGACCTGCGGGAGAGCTAGACAAGAGGGGAAAGGCCCGTCTTTCTCCCGAGGAGCGGCTGCTGGTTTCGAACTGCTAACTTTCCAGTTAGGAGCCCGACTCGGGACCACTACTCCATTGCCCTCCAAAGCCTCTTGGGGCAGGTAGTACTGCGCTCTCCTGTGCCACTGGGTCAGAATGAACTCTGTGGTAACATTTTATTATTATTTTCTTACTGTTAATTTATTGGGGTGTGTATATTTTTATAACTGATAATTAAAAAGTAAACAGTTAAACTTGGTTTGTGTGACTTCCTCAAAGGGGACCAGCCCTCCCACACGTCAGCTGCCCTAAGGGCCCCCGTGTCAGGTGCATGGCAGGGCTCAGGGGCAGGCCTGTCAGAACAGCGTTCTTGGCACTGCCAGCTGACCAGAGGTACTGATGAGGTCCGAGGGTGTAGAGGGCAGCCCTGAACAGCTCTGTCTCTCTTGGTTTACCTGCCTCTTCTTTGTCTGCTGCTGTTTCGTTCTGTGGTCATCTGAGTCTCAGTCTCCTGTGCTCTCTCTGACCCCTCTGTGGCTCTGAGTGGGTCCGGCCCCACCTCTCTCCTTGAAGGGGAGCCATCTTTGCAAACAGAAAGGAGCCCATGGCCAAGCCCATCCAAGATAAAGGTTTCAGACCGTTCTTTTATAAGGCTGCCCCAGCTGGGCAGTTTGTTAAGGGGCTTCCGCCAGCCCCTGCTTTACCCCCTCCTGCCGCCTTTCACAATAAAAGATCAGGGAGAAATCAGTAAGCCATGAAGAACATTGTCATGCTCACAGCATTTCCCAGGATGTCTGCCCTTCCCATCCTCCTCCCTCACTGCCATTGAGTTGATGCGGACTCATAGCGACCCTATAGGACAGGGTAGAGCTGTCCCCATGAGAGTCCAGTTCTCTCCAAATGGTCTTCCAACTAAGGAACTTGGATTATTTTGTGACACACAAAGTGATTTCAAATAAAATTCCTGGGATGTGCCAAGCCCACCGCCCTCCCCACACCGATCTTCCAGTCCACGTTTGGAATCTCTAAGAGGGATCTGTGCTCTGGGTTGGAGAGAACGAGGACCGGTTTTCAGCTGCGCCGGGTGTCCACTCTGAATGTCACTTCCCAGAGGCCACCGTAACGGACTACATGTAACCCAATGGATATTTACTGTGTGCCAGGCCCTGGGTGGAGATTCAGGACATACTAGTGACCAGATACACAAGAACTGCAGGTGCAAAGGCCCTGAGGTGAGACTGAGCTCGGTGTGCAGCAGCAA